AAGTAGTCTTCATTCACAATGTGAAAGAGCTTTCCACAACAGCACTCTCCAGATGTGTTAGATTGCAATACTCATTACTACAACAAGCATGGTGAAAGTTGTAGTTCAATTTATGTGGAGAGCACCAGGTAAGAGTAGGCTGGTCCAAATAAAAAAGAGTGATTAGAGACATTATTATATGGTCAGATACTGCAAGGTGGCTTTTCCTAAAGGATAGTTTATATTGATGAGTATGGTTATATTTCCATTATTGTTGTTGTTCTTATTAATAAGTTTATTTATACTCAGCCTTTTCCCCAAAACCAGGAATCAAGGCATCTTACAGATTAATATAAATACAGTAGAGTTAAAACATACAAAAGATTATCATTAAAGTAGATTTAAATGATTAATTATACAATTTGAGTCTCCCTTATCCGAAATGCTTGGGAGAAGTAACGTTTTGGATTTTGGATTTTGCAATACCTGTATTTGCATATACAAACATAAACAGCTATCTTGGAAATGGGACCCAAGACTGAACACAAAATTCAGTTATATTTCATATGCACCTTATACACAACCTGGGCACTGCTGAAACCTGGGCTCTAGGCTTAAGGTTGAGTCCAACACTACACCTAAACTGCAAACCCATGTCTTAAGAGAAAGTGTAACCCCATCCAGCACAGGTTGAATCTCTATCTGCTCATCTACCTTTCCACTGACCAGGAACACCTCTGCCTTGTCAGAATTAAACTTCATTTTTTTTCACCCTCATCCAGTCCTTTACTGATGCCAAGAGGTAGTTTGGAAACAGTTTCCTTGGAGTTTGGCAGAAAGCAGTACTAGAGTCAGGTGTCATCAATGTACTGGTAGCACTGAACCTTAGTTTTCTGAAAACCTCTCCCAGTAGTTTCATGTAAAGACTGAATAGCAAGCAAGACAAGGTGGAACCCTGAGGGGCTCCACAGACCAGCAGCCAAGGTGTTGCAGGAATCCCCCAACACCATCTTCTGGGCTTTGCTCCAGGAAGGAACAGAACTACTATAAAACTTTGTCCCCAAATCCCATCCCAGCAATGCGGCCCAGAAGGGTACTATTATAAATGGCATTGAAAACTGATGAGATGTTGAGCAGAACCATCAGGGCCAAACGATCACTGCCCAGTTCCCATCAAAAATCATCCACCTAGATAGGTAAAGCAATCTAGGCCTGAAACCAGATTGAAATGGACCTAGGTTATTTATTTCATCCAAGAACCCCTGGAGCTATCAGACATTCTACTAATATTAAGGTTCTTATCCTTGAGCCAATGTGGTGTAGAGGTTTGAGTATTGCACTGTGACTGTGGAGATCAGGGTTCAAATCCCAGCTCTGCCATGGAAACCCACTGACCTTGGGCAAATAACACACTTTCAGCCTCAGAGGATGACAATGGCAAACCCCCTCTGAAGAAACTTGCCAAGAAAACCACATGATAGGTTCACCTGTAGTCTCCATAAGTTGGAAACAACATGAAGGCACACAACAACCTTGAGAAGTGGATTATTCATACCCTGTCTCATAAAAGTAACTTCTCTAAGATGGATGAAGATATGCATACTGTAGATATATAGGGCTTAAATAATTTTGTTAATCTCAATTAAAGTAGATTATTGAATCAGTGGGATTTCCACAAGTGCTGACTTGCCATTCAGCAGTTGATTCAGTGCTATTTCTCTAGTTGTGATTAGCATTAGATTTAGGCCTAGATTCTTACCTTGCTTTCTAAACCAAAGGTCATTAGAGCAACTTATGATAAAGCCTAAATATACAATAGCAAAATAGGAAATCGCAAAAACAATATACTGTGTTAAAACCTTTACAAAGTAATACAATTATAGCTGGCCTTCCACATTTGTGGCTTTAACTTTTGCAGATTTGATTAATATGTTCTCTCTAGGAATCTCTAGGTCCTCCAGGTGGTTAACATCTACCAGAACTTGTGCTGGAGGACCTAGAGATTCCTAGAGTGGTGTTCTCTCAGGTTAAAAAAAAAGTGTTGTTTTTTGTAATTTGTGGTTTTTTCCACATTTGCTGGGGTCCTGTGCCCCAACACCACCAAATGTAGAGGGTCCATTGTAATGGTTCCATAATTTGACTAAAATAAATATTTATAAATATGTCTTGCAAAGAAATTAGAAACAAAACACTTTTGAAAATAAAGTTTTCAGGCTAGACATTTTATCTCCTGTCTATATCTTTCAAATGCCTAAGAAGTGCATGGATGCTTTGTCTAATTCTTATGAACTTCTGTTGTTTAGCTTTAGTATAGTCTTCCAGCTAAAGACTTGTATGTGTGTTTAGTTCCACACAGTATTAGAGCCTTTGAGGAGATTCTTCTTTGTCATGTTAGGAATTTTATCCAATTACTGGAAGCAAGGATAATTGATTGTAATCAGTTAATTAAAAATGTCTGTAGACAAAAGAAAATATCTTTTATTTCTGATGCAGAGATAGTATTTGTAAGGTTTCTGCACCAGAGACTGATCTGGCATCGATGAAAGTTCATCAGTTTAGGATGATTGAAAACTGCTGATAGCGAACTTGTATACCACACTTTTTGGTCATGACCTTCAGAAGAAGTATATTGTTAATTCTTGCAATCAAAGCCACTGATTCACCCTGAATGGTAGTTCTAATGGGTTTAGCTTAGAAACTTCTTTGATGCCATTTTAACTAGAACTTTATAGGTAACTTTCACACTCCGAAGTAAAGGGAATAAGTGTTTAAAGACAGAGGCAGGAATCCTGTGGATGACATATGCTGGCATACTTTCTGTTAAACCAAAGATCTTCTAGGACTATGACACTTTTCAAATCAAGAAGTGCTCAAGGACCCCTGCCTGGGTGGATGAAACTGTTAGTTTCACTTTCTCCCACATTCAACTTTTTATCATCTCAATGTCATTCCCTCCAGTTTATGAAAAAAATATGTACACTTGGAGAAGTTTTGATTAAAGAATGAACCAAATGAAAATCCAGAAAACAGTTCATCATATTCAAAAGTACCAGTGGGTTCATTGGGGTTTTGACAAGGTAAGTGAGTATGGAATTGTAGTTTCATTTGTTTTGAATGTAATTTAATTACATCATTAATATTAATCATAATTTTTTTAAAAAATGAAAAATACAGACTTAATGGTTTTTTGTGGGTTTTTCGGGCTGTGTGGCCATGTTCTAGAGTTTCTTTCTGATGTTTCGCCAACATCTGTGGCTGGCATCTTCAGAGAAATCTTTGAAGATGCCAGCCACAGATGCTGGCAAAACGTCAGAAAGAAACTCTTCTAGACCGAAAAACCCACAAAAAACTATGGATGTCGGCCATGAAAGCCTACGACTTCACAGACTTAATGGTTTTCTAGCTTTTCCGCTTCCTTTGTATTCATTGGACAGAAAATTGGGAGGTTGTATTATTTTACTTACTGAGAAATTGAATAAAATAGTACCTGCATGCTTTTGCTTTATTTCCACAAATATAGGGACAGCAGCTTATAAAATGAAAGTTGAAAATGCAGAGGAAGCCTAGATATCCCTTTGGGGACAGATCATCATAGGTCCCCTGTAGCTACAGCACTGAGGAAGCATGACTGGTTGGGTCAAATGGCATTAGAGAACACTAAGATAAATCTTGGCGGCAACTCTGTTTTGGTGTTTAAAAATATCCCCTGGATGATTTCTTTGTTTTGATACTGACTAGAATTTCAGTCTGGGTCAGCCCTATTGTATTTTGCTTCTCCGGTGCTCCGAGTATTTCTTCTGACATTTTATTATTGAACCTACCCTGTTGTTAAAGTTGAAGGGAGTCATATGCCACAAACCTGGAAATAAGACCTTTGCATTGAATTCTATATTTTGCCATAAGCAAATATGTCAGAAGAAAGTCTTGCCAAGGCTAAAAGATAAGGACTGAAGGGGTGAATCCTGGTTTTAGTGTAATCTCACAAAAGTAACATTTTTAAAAATTGGAGCAGGTGACTTCAGCATTTCTGTTAAAAATAAATCATGGTAGGATCAAAGCGTTCTCTATGAGTCATATTTTCACATGTAGGCTTTTGAGAAGGAAATGCTTATTAGTTTATAAAGCTTCTGAATAGAACTTATTCAAACCAATCTCATTTGTAGCCAAGTATTCACATCCAGAGATATCTCATGAATGGGCAATTCAAGTATATCCATGAAGTTCTGTCCTCGGGAACATTTATTTTAATGGACAGAGATCTGAGGAGTACATTTGCATCACCCTCAACTGAAATGTACCATATATGTTTTTTAATCTAGGCGTACTAATCTAGGCGTACTAACACAGGTCTGCTGCCAAATATGATGGAACCTCCTTGCAGAACACTAACACAGTGCCAATTCTCTGTGTCCCACAGCCCACTTCTTCTTGTGGGTTTTGGTTTAGTCCCCATAATCTTCCCCATTTGAAATTAAGCCTAATAAATGGAAGCCCTTGGCCATGTCCATCCTCTTTTACCCTTAGTTTCAAATTCCTGCATTCATTTTGTGTAGGTTTCTTTGTAAAGGATACAAAGTGAACTGGAAACTTCCAATAAGACATAACAAAAAAGAACCACAGTCTCAGAATATAAGAAGAAAGGGGGATAGAAAAATAGCAGATATATGGAATGAATACTTAGCAGAGGTGAGGAAGAAAATGCAAAAGTGGGTTTATAGTTGAATATTAAGAAAACAAACATAATGACCACAGGTGATTTACAGAGCTTTAAAGTACACTATGAAAACACAAAAATAGTGAAACATTTTCTATACCTTGGCTCTCCAGTCTAAATCAGAAGGAAACTCAAACTTGGAAGTTCAGCTATGAAGGGACAAAATAAGTTTGTCAAGTGTAAATAAATTAAATACTAAGGTCATTAAATAAAAAACTCAGAAGCAGACAGGCCACATTACTTCTGCTTTATGTGTGTGGATGTGTGGTTGCAAAAGCTGTGAGCCACCTTAGGTCCCTTCTGGGAGAATGGCAGCATACAAATGAAATCAAATTAATAAATCAAATAAGCTGGGCAGTAAAGAAAGCTGATAGGAAGAAAATCAGCTTTGGTCAGGCCTGACCTGGGATACTATGTCCAGTTCTGGGCAAGTATCCAGATGAGGGCGACTAAAATGGTGCCCAGGCTTAGGCTGCAT